AGGGCGGTTGCCAAAACCATGGTGTGATGCAGACACTACCAAGTTTATGGAATATGTAAAAACTTTAGTTAAAGATAAGGAAATTTTCAATGAAGATGTTGAATTGAATAAGGAGTTACTAGAAACATTTTGTAAGGTATGAATATTTATAACTCTCAGTAGCCTTCAGCGGCATGGAATTAGTAAAAACAAATTACCCTATGTGTTTTTCCAGACTATCCTAGACTAGATCTAGACATCTATGCCAAATTTCAGTTACAAACACTAATAAACATCCATCCATCCCAACTTTCGCATTAATACTATTAGTAATCACTTCTACAACAATTTATTTGAACAACTGATTTCTGTAAATGATATTTTCTTGAGCACAATTTGATAGTAAATCATGTTCTGTAGGTATCATCTGGAGATCTTAACCCTATGAATGCTGCAATCGGTGGTGTTGTTGCACAAGAAGTGATGAAGGCCTGCTCTGGAAAGTTCCACCCGATAGTTCAGTGGTTGTACCTAGATGCTATTGAGTGCCTCCCTAAAGACCGATCTATTCTTACTGAGGAGACGTGTAAGCCTGTTGGCTCGCGTTATGATGGTCAGGTGGCCGTTTTTGGCCGAGACTTCCAGAAAAAACTTGGTGAATTGAAGTATTTCATTGTTGGTAAGTGTTAGCTTTAACTCTAAATCTAGTTTAGTTGAAGTCATGATTCTAAATTCTGTTTTTAAACTCCTAACGATTTTAATATTCAATTTGTAAGTATATTGCGCAAAACTTATACAACACATATCTATAATAACTACCGTAAGCTGCGACCTCGGTTACATACTCATTAAGTTCTAGTTTACATTGTGTTTATCTCTATGTATTTTTAATTAAACACCTGCATGATATTGTATAGTGAATTATTAGAGTAAAATGAAATGTAACACATGTAACAAATAATTTAACTCCAATTTTATATTTGAGTGTTGCCATATTTAATGTTAACTACGAAGGATTATGATGACAATGTTAATTGAATGACTCATTGCTGTTTTTTCTTTGAACTGGCTCATTATCTTGCAAGGGCATTGACTGACAATGGGTCTAGAATGTCACTGCAAACTCTTTGTATGGATTTTGTACTGAAAAATCAATATCGAAGTATAAAGAAACAGCACAATTGTTTTTCAAATAGTTTGATTTTACTAAATCTAATTTATAAAGAAATATTCTAGTTATATTGTCTTATTCTAGTTTTTGCTGTTAAAAGTCTTTTTTGGTTTGAGATGTAATAATTAAAGAAACAATATGTCATATTTTTAACATTAATATAAATATAAAAATTGTTACAAATATTTGATGCAGTCGAGCATTATTACAGACTAGCTTTTGTTCACCACTACATCCGCGCGGAAGGACAATATTCTACATTTGTGCTATATTTCATAGAGATCCTCTAAGCCAAGATATGTAGTAAAAAATATCAATCCATTCATGCATCGAATGTTTCGCCTTTATGTATTATTAAAATCAATTATGGTAATTTACATGTTGCATCAATGTGTTTTTTTTTCCAGGCGCCGGAGCTATCGGGTGCGAGCTGATGAAGAACTTCGCGATGATCGGCGTGGGCGCGGAGGGCGGCTGCGTCACCGTCACCGACATGGACCTCATAGAAAAGTCCAACCTAAACCGGCAGTTCCTATTCCGGCCCAGTGATGTGCAGAAACCCAAATCCAGTACTGCTGCTAGGGTATGTTCACATTGAAACAATTCAAAGATACTTAGGCTGTATTTTTATTAGGGGAATTTTATAACTACGTCATAATTAGATTTTTATAAAATGACTAGCTTTCGCCTAAGAGTACGTCCGCGTGGAATAAAAAAAATCTAAGTAGTCTTATGTGCTCACCCAGAATATCTTTTTCATGTATGCAAAATTTCATCATGATCCATCTAGCAGTTTAAGTTACAAACATCCATCCATCTAAACTTTCGGATTTATGATGTTAGTAAAATTAGTAAAAAGGTGGCTGTGTGTGAGTTTAGATATTAAAGCTCTATTACGTTAGATGTGTCAACATTTTCGTAATAATCGTATTTTGTTGTATATATCAGGTGATCAAGAACATGAACCCTTCAATGAACGTGGTGGCGCACGAGAACCGCGTGTGCCCGGAGACGGAGTGCGTGTACGACGACCAGTTCTTCGAGCAGCTGGACGGCGTCGCCAACGCGCTGGACAACGTGGACGCCAGGATATACATGGACCGCCGCTGCGTCTACTACCGCAAGCCGCTGCTGGAGAGCGGCACCCTCGGCACTAAGGGCAACACGCAGGTATACTAAAGCACATCACTATCCCCTACATTTACTACCCCGCCTTCCCTCCTCAGGGAAGTTAGTATTCTTAGAATTTCGTTTTTGCCAATGTTTACATGTTCACCATGGGCGTTACCAGACGATGACCTATGGGAGAAGGCAAACCGACTATTAAGGGGGTTAGTTACTAGCTTACTAATACTTTACTTGTATTAGTTAGGGGCCAGTTGGTAAAAACATGTTTATTTTTGCAGTTTTGGTAAAATTGTCAGTAGTAATGCAGTGGTTGTATTCGGCAGGTGGTGGTACCATACCTGACGGAGTCGTACAGCTCGTCGCAGGACCCGCCGGAGAAGAGCATCCCGATCTGCACGCTGAAGAACTTCCCCAACGCCATCGAGCACACGCTGCAGTGGGCACGCGACGAGTTCGAGGGGCTGTTCCGTCAGGCGGCGGAGCACGCGGCGCAGTACTTCACAGACCCGCACTTCCTGGAGCGCACCGTGCGCCTGCCCGGCACGCAGCCGCTCGACGCCATCGAGAGCGTCCGGGTAACTACCACAGCCTCGCGTCTCGCTCACTACACTACCTTCCTACAGACTATTTTTATAAGAGGAAGCAAACTAGCTGCAGCAACACAAGTCATTATCGCACATAGGTGTTGAAATGGTGGGTGAGGGTGGTGAGCTGGTCCCACCCTGGCTCTCATCTGTAATGTTCCTAACCAGACCTAAAAACAAAATGCCATCAAAACAAAAATCGCGATTTTAGAAGGAAGCTTTTGTTGTGTATATGAGCAATAGGAATTTTGGATAATACGAATTATTCCTCCAGGACATGAAATCTATGACGAAATTCATAGAGTGAAGCTGCTTTTGAGATATGCAGTAACAAATATTCATAAAACCTTTCGCAAGTATATTTGTATGATCTACAAAAAGTCTTTATCTCTCTACTTCCAGAACGCTATTGTTGAGCGGCCAATGAACTTCGAGGACTGCGTGACGTGGGCGCGGCTGCACTGGGAGACGCAGTACTCCAACCAGATCAAGCAGCTGCTGTTCAACTTCCCCCCGGACCAGCCCACACTGAGCGGCGCTCCCTTCTGGTCCGGCCCCAAGCGCTGCCCCTCGCCGCTCGTCTTCGACCCTGAGGATGAGCTGCATCTGGACTATGTGGTGGCCGCCGCCAACCTGCGCGCGCAAGTGTACGGCCTCCCCACGTGCCAAGATAGAGAAGAAATCGCACGGATGGCTACTAGTATTGAGGTAAAAAACTTTAATTGGTAAAATAGGCCAGAAATATTTTCTAACTAGCTTTTGCACGAGATTTTGCTGCGCATAAATTGAAAAACAAAAAGCTTAAAAAGCATCTCATGTGATTATTAGAGGCTAGGTTCTATAGAATGAGAATCAATTAAACATTTGTATTTATAACAATAGTAAGATATGGAATAAATTGCGGAATGTTTTTTTTTTAATTTTAAATAATATTACAGGTGCCGGAATTCAAGCCACGCCGCGGTGTCAAAATCGCAGTGACGGACACGCACCTGGCGGCGCAGAACAACGAGCACATGGACCAGGACAAGGTGAAGAACATGATAGCGGAGCTGCCGCCGGCCGGCGCGCTCGGCGGACTCAAAATCACGCCGCTGGAGTTCGAGAAGGACGACGACACCAACTTCCACATGGACTTCATCGTGGCCGCCTCCAACCTGCGCGCCGCCAACTACAAGATCCCGCCCGCGGACAGGCACCGCTCCAAGCTCATCGCCGGCAAGATCATTCCCGCCATCGCCACCACCACCTCCGTCGTCGCCGGCCTCGTCTGCCTCGAGCTGTACAAGCTGGCGCAGGGATACGACGTCCTCGAGGTCTTCAAGAACGGCTTCGTCAACCTGGCGCTGCCCTTCTTCGGCTTCTCGGAGCCCATCGCCGCGCCTGTCAACAGCTACTACGACAAAAAGTGGACCCTGTGGGACAGGTTCGAGATCAAGGGGGAGATCACGCTGCAGCAGTTCCTAGACTACTTCAAGAACGAGCACAAGCTGGAGATCACGATGCTGTCGCAGGGTGTCTGCATGCTCTACTCGTTCTTCATGCCCAAGGGCAAGAAGCAGGAGCGGCTGAACCTGCCCATGTCGGAGGTTGTGATGGCGGTCTCCAAGAAGAAGCTGGAGCCGCACGTGCGGGCGCTGGTGTTCGAGCTGTGCTGCAACGACGAGGACGACAACGACGTGGAGGTGCCGTACGTGAAGTACACGCTGCCCTAGCCGGCCGGCCGGGACGCGGCGCAGCCCCGCAGCCCCGCCCGGGGTGTACATCTTTAGCACTAACAGAGGGTATTTTAACATATGAAGGATAGATCTAAACGTTTTTCGCGGGTGGAGTGCCTCGGAGTGACTGTACACTGCTAGTGTTACTGTGTGATGTTTCATTTGTGCTTTAAGACACGCTTTTATTGTCTACTTATAACTTACGTATATTTATAGTAGTATAATTATTTGCTCACACCGTACACCGATGCTGGTCGATCAGGCAATCTAAACTTGTTTTCCACTCATTTGACAAAATTATAAAATAATTTAATGTTAAAACAAATGGGCAGTATATGAAATGAAATTAAATAAAAATTCGTGCGGAATTTGCGTTTTAATTTTCAATTTTTACCATTTTATTTAATTAAATCGGTACATACAAATACATAGTCTTGTTTACATTTAACACAAAATAGTGGCTGCAGATTAATTTATTCTTAATTTTTAAATTCCTGTATTTTTTGACTTTCTGCTTACACCATACACAGTTTGTGGTTTTGGAATGTGACTACAATTTATTCTATAGAACAATTAGAACAGAAAAAGGCACTTTTACAACAGTGTGGACAGAAATTTTTATAAAAAATGAATACATAAAAATACATTTTAAGCAGTTAAGAATACTATCGGCAAAAGCTTGCTGTTACATAAATACTTCTTACAATAACACATGTCGTTTTTTTAAAAAACAAAGTCGAAACTCATCGTAAGGATAACATTTGCCTCACTTGGTTAATTAGTACTTGAATTATTGTATTAAAAAATATATGTTAAGATACATTTAAAGTAAATCACGATTAAAAAAATTACCTCTAATGACTACAATCTTATTACAGTAAACAGTAATATTCCGCGAAAAATATCAAATATGTGAATTACAAAACAGTAAAAAAGCTTGTATACTAAAGTATTTTATTGGAAATAATCTCATTGTATCATAAACTGGCAACACAACACAACCACACTTTAATATAAACCAGGCACCTCGGCTTTGGAAGCTTCGCGCTTTACAACCTAAATTTATCACTTACAGTCCAAATACCGTTATTTTACGTGAATTTACACTGCAGATAATTATGATAGTATTCTCAGAGATATTGAGTTACCAAATTAGACAAGTGCTTCAATAACCCACAGTTATGTGGGTAGTTATGTTTTCTTATTATACTTTTTTTTTGCTTTGCCATAATGTATCTTATGCAATACAATTTGCCAAATTAAACACCTTTATAATAGTGTAAGTTATGTAAAAAATATCAAATGCAATTTTTGTTACACATTGGAATACATATTTAATTAAACGCATTTTTAAAATGGCCAATAAATAAGGCAATAAAAGAATAAGCTCATACAATTTTGCAGCGTCTTATGGCTAGTGTAGGGGTCAGAGGTGCGCAGGCGGGGGGTGCGGCCAGCAGAGGGCGAAGCACCCGGGGCGCGGCCCCCGCGGTCAGCGCCACGGCCGCCGGCGCGGGCTGCCCACGCACCGCGCACGCAGACCAGACTTGTCGCCGCTAAAGCTCTCTGTCACATTCAACAACCTAAATGTTACACTTTATGTCATCAGACAGTTCAAAATAATGCCATGATAATAAATGAACTTTGTAAATTAACTCAAATGACTACTCATGCTTACTTTAAACACGCAAACTGCAGAAATTGTTTATTAAATGCAAAATACTAGCCTTGACATAGGACTAGTATTTTGTTAGTGACCACTAATATTTGAATTAATTCTATTGACGCTAAATCGATATCTACTCTTAATACAAAAATAAAAAGTGTAGAACAGACAATGCAAATCAATAATATTGAACAAACAATGGAAAGCAAACATCGACATATACCCAATTAAAAATCAATAAAAAAATACTTAGCCAACGATATCTCTTAAAACATTCAAAGCAAATAACATCTCAGAACAGGCAGACGATTGAAACGTGCACATTGCAGATAGATTTCTCTATAGTGTGACAGTTGGACAATGCGAACATGTGCGTGAGCATGCGCGGCGAGCATGCGAACAGAGCCGTATGCCGGGTTACCGTGGCTGGAGTGCGACATGGCGGCGGCGGGCGAGGCGCGGCGCGCGCGCGACCCGAACGACCCCGAGTGAGACTGCGACATTACGTCACTACACGCACCCACGGCCCATGCAAGATCGTTAAATAAACACTTTATTATCAGGACAGTCTGTCCCCGTGCGGCTTCATCACCATCATTTATCGTTTCCAAATGTCAAAATTCAAATAACGACGGTCCTTGTCATTGGCTGGCACTTTAAGTAACCATGGTAACCTGTATTCTTTATTGCTATTGGCTTGAAAGTTTTTCTCTTTCCCGCAGAGCAATTTTTTTTAATTTACTCACCTCTTAGTTTAATAACATGAACATTTATTAAAGCTCGTTGTGTGTAACGCTGAAATCCTACATCATGAGCAGTACACTTTCATACATATGCCACCTACGTTAATTTCTTGTATAAAAAGTATGACTTGTATGTGTGTATGTGTGATACATACGTGGGGCGGTAGTGTCGCGGCGAGGCGCGCAGGGCGAGCGCGCGCTGGCGGGCGCGGTCGGCGGCCAGCAGCGCGCACCGCTCCGCCGCAGAGCTCGTTATGAACGTCTCGTGCAGCGAGTAGCACGCCGCTGTTATCTGAAAATACATCACAAATTACAACCACACATACAAAAAATATCTAAACTTTTATGAAAGACTATGATAGGGTTGCAAATGTTTTGTACCCCATCTATAGAAAAAATTGAGCAGATTTAACACAAAATACCACACCATACAATAAACAAGACAGAAATGCTGACGAACCAACATATTACAAAAACATACCATTTAAAGACCTTGGTTATGAAGTGCATTTACAGAAACTTGAGGACACACCAAAACAGTTTATAGTATGAAGAAAGAAAAGAAGACTTGAAAAGAAACCAACACCATTCATTAGTAAAGTTTTCTTAGTATAATCACCGTCAGTGTAAGAGTGTTGTGTGAGTGTGTCACCTGCTGTATGAGGCGGCGGTGCAGGTCGACGTCGGGGCCGCGGATGCCGGCGCGCTCCTGGTGCAGCTGCAGCGCGCACAGCAGCGCGTCGCGGATGGTCTGCACGGTGGCCTGCACGCGCTCCGTGCGCAGCAGCCGGCGCACCAGGTAACCTTTCGCGTACGCTACTATCCTAGTCGCCGCCGCGCGCTACAATCCACCAGCCACATCATACATAACATCGTGTCCCCGATACCGAGCACAGAAACCACACGAGCAAAGCGATGACGCGAAAATACAGCGAAACGATACATTCAAATGCAGAAAACGCAAGAGAAATAATAATGTGACGTGTAATTAGCTAAATTATTGAACAATAAAGAGAAAAGCAAAGTACAAAATAAAACATATAATAAAACAAATAACGTACAAAGATAAACAATAAAAAACCTGAAAATCAAACATGAATTATTAGCTAGCTCAAGATTAGATCTTAATTAGTTACCTCTTGGGCAGTAGGAGCACGAAAGAGATCTTTTTTAAGAAGTCGCGCCCGAACGTCGAGAATGGAATTCTTTATCGAATCTTCTACGCTTTTTATGGCGCGATCGGTGGCTTTTGGTTCATCTTTGGCCGTAAGTGACATGTCGTGATCGATTCTTTCTTCATCACGTATATTTTCTACGTCGAGCTGGCTCGCTGGACGGATATCCTCACTGTTGTCCGAAGGGAAGGTGACGTTCAGGTCTGCCATGGTGTCGTTCGTGCGGTCCGTCAATATGAGGTCGTATTCGCGGTCGGAGGACGCGCTCGTGTCGTATATTAACTTTCTAGAAGTGTTTCTGTTCGTAGGTGAACGTGTCCTTATCTTTTCGACTTCACCTTTGGCAGTTTTTGAATTATCTTCAATCTTAAATTCCGTAGGCTGTTTTTTTAGACTGCTAGTTATATCCCTGCTCTTTTTCAATACATTATCACAATGATTTAAGTAATTGTTGGTATCTGTCAATGTGGTAGACACAGGGCTATCGCGGATAGTCGGTTCCGGAGGTTTGGGGGTGATTAACTGGCTGAGACTGACGGGTCCTCGCTCTGGTGTTTCGTTTTTGTCAATCCAAGCTTTCTTCATTTCGCCAGGTGACTTTGGGCAAATCGTTTTCAACTGATTAAATAGCAAATTGTTTTGCTCTTCGAAAACCTGCTGCAAAAGGATTTGTTCCTTTTTCTGTTTTTCAACAAGTGTTGCCATTTGTATGAGCTGCTGTTTTTGTATCCTCTCGTAAAGTTCTCTCACACGTTTAGCAGGGTCGGGGTCATCACTCTCGGTGGCCAATTGTGGTGTCGGTAACTTAGGTTCCTGTGTTTTTTGATGGGAAATCGTTTTATCATTTACATTTTTATTTGGATTTCGAGATTTGTGATTTTTATTTATTGGTGCAGACTGAATTGATGGTTTGGAATTTAGATTGCTGTATCGAGTTTTTTCAGAAGCTGCCGATCTGGATCGCGGAACTGACTGTCTTTTAGATTTGTCGACTGATCTGGACAAAATGCGCTTTTTAGTTCCGTTGCATTTTATATCATTATTTCCGTCTAAAGCTACATTAATTACAATATTGTTTTTCTTCAACTCCAATGCCATGTTTGACCATGTGGCTTTAGCCGTTTCTAAGTCCCAGCTTTTACGTTTTTTGTTAGGTGAAGTTAGATTGGAGCGCGACTCGCTCATTGATATCGCCGCCACCTCTACACCGGTGCTGAGAGATTGTATCTGCAAATGAGCTAGCAGCATAGGACTTGGAGTCAGTACAGTGTATGATCTTTGTCTTATTAATGGATTATTTTCGGAAGTTTTCTCACTTCCTTTATGTATATCATTAAGGGAACCTGTAAAGCTTTTTGCACCAAGTGATGATGGTCCATCAATGTAGAAATTATCCATTGTAGCACTTTTATTATTGATTCCAAAATTAGACTTATTTGAAGATAGCTCTTTATCACTTTCAAGTTTGAAATCAGGTTTGTTTTCTTTTGTAGGTTTTTCATTATCATGTTCAGGTAAATCTGTAGGTGTATCTTGTGGTAATGTTTTATTTCCATGCAATGTTGTTTCATCCGTGTGGCTAAAACTTAAACTTACATCAATTACTAATTTTGATGACTCATTTAATGCTGTATCTGTAATTGGTGTGAAATTGGAACATAATTTATCCGAGTTGTTACTTGAAAGTGAACTGAGTTTGGGAGAATTTGTTATTGATCTATTTGAAGATTTTTCAGTATCACCTAAAATTTTTTCATTATTAACAGATACTAATTCTTCTACTGGTAGTTCATAGTTTTGTTCGGATTCAGGTATTTCCGGTGCATCAGTCTTATCTTCGCTGGCATCTGAATCACTGCAAGATATAAATGTCTTCAGGAGGAGTATTCGTTTCTCCACTTCTTTAGCCAATAACTTGTAGTACTGCATTTCTTTACGGCATTCTTTCGACAACTGTTAAAATAAATTATTTAAAAAATATTGCCAACATTAATAAACATTTAATACAGTTAATTAAATCTTTGAAGAGGGCTAATGTTGTCAGTTAAAAAATCAAAATAAGGTGGATTGGAGTACAGAACTTTAGAGTTGCCCTAGCAGAATATTGAAATAAGAAATAATACATGGCAATGACCTGTGAGGTCCAGTAATTTGAACTTGCTTGTATGTTAGGATTGATATATGGCAGTCTTATTTCCTCAGGAAGTAAACCTATGCCCAGCACCACTGCCATGAAAATGAACTGCGACAAGCAAAGTATTTTCAATAAAGTAGATTCAAAAATGTATAACACAATTTTAATATTTAAAGAATCATTCCATTTTCTAAAGAGAGATCTGGTAAGAAAAATAAAGGTAATTTTTAATGATGTAGGAAAGCTAGAAAAAAAAAGAACTTACGGACTTCAACCCTTATAAGAAAAACACAAGTAAAACGTAGACTTACAACAGGGGGCAGGAGCGGTACGCCATTTATCTTCATGCAGGACATATATTGTCCAGATTGCCTTACAGATTTTACATCCCAGGGGTCGTTCATTTCGTTTTAATGAAGTCCAGTTTTAACAACTCAACGGTCTTAACTGATGCGCCGATAGACAACATTCACCATATTACGTGAAAGGAGATTTGTAAGGTTAAATCTGAACTTTAATATTTACTAGAAAATCTTGTAAGACATGGCCTGTATCAATAAAAGCGATGTTGTCACGGCTCGATTACGTCAGTTATTTAATTGGCCGGTTTCTTAGCAAATAAACAAATTAGATTTTGTTGATTTACATTTTTTTACCCTGCCAACGGTAAAACACCGTGAATTTTTAAATGAATCCCAAACAAAATACTTTCAAAATGTTTGTTTTGTTTGCGAAGATTGCAAATAGCTTTATTTTTTACAGCAGTTAGCCACTTTGACAGTTCAGTAATTAAACAGATAAAAAAATGATTACACTACGTTCCACGCAAACAACATTTGCAGAATTCGATCAAAAATTAACTTTTAAGCTTCTAAACACCATGAAGGAGTATAAAGCACAAATGGTAAAACTATGTCCCTTAAAAGATTATCTTAAATCTTGGTGTTGTTCAGTTTTGGAAGTGGTTTTTGATCATTTTTTTTTATTTTTCCTCATGATTTAATCCGTGCGATGCGTAAAACTTATCGTTGTCTCTATGACAAGTTGATTGTCATTTTCAATGTCATTATTTTCTTCAGTAATCCGTTCGATTCTGATCTGATTCATTTTACAAATTACTTCAAAATAATGATACCGTGTAAATAAAAATTAAAGTTCATATTCTAAGAAACATTAGTTACGTATAATAAGTAACAGAGTTGGAACAATTTGGTTTCAAAATGGAAGTTATTCCTGCAGCCAGGCAAGCACTTATGTGTTTCTTATTATCAAACTTTACGTTTATCGTCTGCTTTTTAACTGGAGTGCTGGGATCTTCTTCAGAATTATGGGCTCTTAAATACTGGGGGCCTGCATTATACTTTTGTTTGATTAATTTCGTGTTGAAATACTGCTACAAAGGATTCATATACGAGGTAAATTCTACGTCTGTTACTAGAACTCGCTCTTAGTCTTTATTTAAATAATACTATGACTAATATCTTTGTTATAGGTATCTATAAGAGCTTCGGGATTAGGAGCTGGTATGGCTGTCGGGCTGTACCTTATCTCATTTAATAATGGCTGGAAGATTTTTGGGTTGTATGCAGTTGCTCTGACATTTTTCCATTTTTCTGAATTTGTGGCAGTAGCATTGTCCAACCCAAAGACTGTGACCATAGACTCATTTATCCTGAACCATAGTGTTCAGTATGCTGTTGCAGCGGTAGCCAGCTGGGTGGAATGGGCCGTGGAGTACTACTTCTTCCCAGGTATGTAATGAACATAGGTTAGCTATATGTAAGTCATGATCCATTTTAAGTTGTTTACTTTTTTAAGGAAAGGATGAGAATCAAACTAATGGGATTTGTTCCTATTAGGTCGATAGATTATGTAGATTTGAATCCACTTTATGATGTTATGATGGTTTAAATTGTTATGTAATATATTTCAGATTTAAAATCACATTTCTGGCTGTCGAGTTTGGGTGTGGTTATGTGCTTTGGTGGAGAGCTTCTCAGGAAAACTGCAATGTTCACAGCTAAGCACAACTTTACACACACTGTAAGTTATTTTTAACTAAATGCATAAATTAAAAGCAACTGTAATATTAGTTTTTGTTTAATTGGTACAATTTGTGATGTTTCTCTCAGGTGCAGTTTGTGAAGAGACCAGAACATCAACTTGTGACTCACGGTGTATACTCTCTCTGTCGACACCCAAGCTATGTGGGCTGGTTCTACTGGTCTATTGGAACACAGGTACATAAAAATTACTTTAAAAGACATCCTCTCTAATGTGTTGCAGATAAAACTTAATAATCTATGGATTACTTAATCCATGCCTATAGAGTGAACAGAAGCCATAAATTGTACATAATAGGTCAATATAGTGTTTGTTTTTATGTTATTACCTAAGCTGTGGCCTTTTCTATTCCCATTTATTACAATTTGTTTGTTTTCATTTAAATTTTTAGCGATACCACTATGTAGTATATTTGAGACACAAGATATACGATATAACGTAAGCATACACAAATTAAAAACTAACACAAAACAAAGGAATATGAAAACAAAATGGCGGGCGAGAGAGCAAACGAGCGAGGGGTCGGTACAGTGCAGCAGCGAGAGGCGACTCATTGCCGGCAATTTAGCCTTTTTTTTACGTGGAAATATGAAGTGTGTGAGGGAAAGCATGGAACGAACGACAGAGACGCACGATTGCCGTAGGTGTTCAGCTTGGCGCGTTAACACGTAAAGGAAAATGCAGTAGACGAAAATTTAAATTATTTATTTAACAAAAAAAATTGTGTCAATCTCGATACATTATTTTCTCTGTCTTTTCAGATTATACTACTAAACCCTTTCTGCGTAATAGTTTACGCGATGGCCTCGTGGATGTTCTTTCGGGAGCGCGTGTATGCTGAAGAGATGACCCTGTTGGCATTCTTCGGCAAGCAGTATGAGGAGTATCAGAAGAGAGTTGGTACTGGACTACCTTGCATACCAGGATATGTCCCCGAGAACAGGAGACAGAATCTAAAAGAAGATCATTGGAGTTATTAGTCTGATAATCACAAAGCTTTAAGGATTGTGGAATTACAACCAATAAAAGTATTGCGTAAGTACAATATAGGGACGTCAATGTAACGAAACAATTAATGTAATTTTTTAACTAGTTGAAAAACTACTTGATTTTGTCAACTACTTACACAAAACATTAAAAATAGACTAGTGACGTAATAAAAGACGTTCAGAGTTTTCCATCAACATTTCAACTAGTTGTAAAACATTTAACATTTAAAAGAAAAAACAGTGAACATTTGTTTCAACTAGTTAAATCAACGCCCATCCCTAGTACAGTGGTGGAAATTAATTACCTACCCATTTCAGTGTAAATGTCATTTGACACAGCAGAAAATATGACAAAATATATTGCTCTTATGTTAACAGTTTACTTTAATTTAAAAATTATTTAATTTTTTTTACATTGAAATATTTGATATACTTGCAGTTAATTTATAACAGATTTTCATATTGTCTAGTCAAATATATCAGGTATATGTGTAAATATTTGATCGCCGATATACTTGAGGGAATTAAAATGAAAGAGATCTTTGCCAGGAGCGAATGCGTGTACTTGATGCTGGCTACAGAATTTGAATGACCTTATTTAAAAAGTATATTATGTGACGGTGATCTATAAAGCCGTTGTTATTAAAATGGCGGGCGCTCGCGCGAACAATATATTTTTCAGTTGTTATTATCTCTAAAGAGTTGTAATAGTTATATAAGATTAAACGCCTGTCCTAAATTGTAAATTGTCTGATAACAATCTAAAATGTAAATTATGTGATGAAAATATCGTATTTTGTTCCCTTATCTGACAATAATGTCATTTTTAAGCTATCTGAGCCTCTATCAGCCAGAGGTGGGACAGGCCGTTAAATATTCACATACATAATTCACAGTGTATATCATAAAAGATTTAGAAATATCTTTTTTTTAATGGAGACATGTGTATTGGTAAAATATGTACAGAAAAAGACATCGAAAATACGATGACATTGACAATGTGTTCTTATTTCAAATAATTTAAATTCTTCCTTTTTTTCTAATGGCTTGAGACCTAAAAACATGTAAAAACTCCTTGAACACACAGTTTATGTAAAGTTAATGTTTAAATTATGTATCTTTCTTACAAGTTAATTATAAAATCGAATTATTTTAGTTTATTAGGTAGAGTTTTGTATATTTCATATTTTCAATAATACATCATCATTGAAATATTAAGAGCCTGTCCCACTGACTTGTAAATTGTCTGATAACGCTCCAATGTGAAATATGTGATGGAAATATCGGATTTTTATACCTTATCTGACAGTGACGTCATTTTTAAGCTATCTGAGCCTCTATCAGCCAGTGGTGGGACAGGCCCTAAAATTCTTAATATTTTAAGTAATTTATTATAATGGTTTAAATGGGTTTGTGGCTTATACTTACATTAATTTTAATAAATAGGAGACTAGCTGGGAATAAAAATGATCAAGAAAAAAAGTAACACCAAAAAATTTAAATGATGTGTTCAAAGTGATTTACTTTTATGTTACTTCACAATCTAGTGTATGTTGCATTTACTCTCATTATTTATTATATTGTATTTACTAAAAACTTTATTTTTTAATGTAGAATATAGTAAAAATAGATTTTTGCTTCAACTTTGACTAAAACACAATTGTAAAAAATATTCGTCTCTAAAGTTGTACATATTTCTTGTGATGGACGAACAAAATTTAGTAATAAAATTATTTTGATACAAACTTTATTTTTTATTTTAACATCTAGTTTATATTATTCCAGTCCGATAAATACACTGGATTACAACTGGAACAATGTAAATCCACACAATCGCAGCAACATTAACTTAAAGTGAAAAAATAGCATTTTCTTCTATTTTTTCGATTTTGAAATAACGTAGGTAACGTACAACCAGCAGTAACATTACGTAATAATTACGTCACATATTATGTCCATTGTTTACAAACATAACATGTTGACAATTGCCGATAGCGAATTATTTGAGCTCAGAGTGTACCGAGAACACGATCAAATGTCTACCGCCACGGTTTTTCTGTTCCTACTGGACAATTTGCCTGGTAAGTTAGCAAAATATACAGATAATTGTAATGAAAAAGGTCAAATAGTAAGATTTTGAACGATTACTAAATTTAAAGATTCTAAAACAGTTTTAGAATTTATCGCATTAAGTTTTCATGTATTTTATGTTTTATTTTAAATAATTTTCAAATAATTATAAAAATTAACTATAATATATTATATTCAACAGATTTTCAAAATTCATTAAATTCAACGCTTGCTACGTTATTAGATAAAGAGGATTTGTCTTTGGAATTTTCTATTTTACATAAATGCAACCCGACCGTCGCTCAGTCGGTGCTCAACGACATCAAGAACAACGTAGAAGAAGAAAAGATATCGCACGAAAATGTAACAGACGTAAAACATGATAATTTTAAAGAAGTTTTCGATGAATTATCACCAGAAACTCTGTACAACATAGGTACAGTATTCGATAATACTGTAGAGGATTCCGAAAATCTAGATTCATATGAAAGTAAAAAATCTAATAAAACATCTAAAATACGACCAGATTATCCTAAGTATTATAAAGATCAGGAAGGAGATGATGTTGATATGGACAATGCGATCGATTCCGATATATTTGACAGCAAAGTGAAACTGCCCGAGAGCGTGCCGTCTATGGTCGCTATGTTTGAGACGCTGTCGAATATTACCGCGCAAACTTGCGGCGGCACGCTGCTCTCTCCGCGCTGGGTTATCACGACTGCCACTTGCTTAGACTTATTGTCCGGTAACGGGTAAATAATGTTACATATATTATAAATACGAAACTTTACATGGATGGATGCAATGTTACAATTTATCTTTAGAACGACTGAATGGATCTAGTGAAATAAGACACAGATAGAGAACATAGTCTGGATGAACACATATTCTATTATTAAGTATATTTTTTGTTCTTATGTAAGAATGTAATGTAATGTTACAGGCAAAAACTAGTTTATTTATAATTTAAAATAGCTAAATAAATCAAATCTTAAATTCTCTTGTCTTGTATTTTCAGTTCCAAATATCATAATTCAAGTAAAAGTGAGTACACGATTGTTGCGGGCGCGAACAATCCATTAAAGGACGGCACAATACACCACGTTACTGATATGATCTTGTTTCCCAAAGAGACTCTTAAAACTAACAGTTCTGTAGACAATTTGAAAAGGACTACGACAACTGGAGTACACGTGGGCAATGTTACCTTAGCCCTGCTGAGAATAACACCGCCAGCGCATATCCAGACATTAACAATATCTCATGTCCCATCAAAGGGGGAAGAAGATGTACAATTGTATGGATGGATTCAAGTAAAAGTAAATTTAACTAAACATTGATTATGCTACCCAACAATAGATGGCGCTGTACGTTAAAACCTTTTTATAACTTTTAGGAAGCAAATGGTAAAGAAGTGATGAAGGCAACTTCAATTTCAGCTAAAACAATGCGCTCTGAAGAGTGCGGCGCTAATCTAAGCGATGTATATCACGAGGCAATGCTATGTCTGAACCCTAAAAAGAAAACGCGAAAAGACGTCGAAAGTAAAATAAAACAGGCAAGTGATTTATTAAAATCGTTCAACCCAGTTGTTATTATATTTTACTTTGTTATTGTAAATCCATTATCATTCGTTGGTATTTATTAGCAAGACATTGTACAGATGCACTCCGGGGGCCCGGTGCTGGCGGCGCGCAACAACAAGCCGATGTTGCTGGCTGTGGCGCAGTTCGAGCTGCCGTCGCCGCGAGCGCCGCTGTACGCGCACCCTCTCGCCGCACACGCCACATGGATAAACGCAGTCATTGCTTATAAATAATAGTTTAACAATTAAAAATAAAATTATCAACTAAAATGTTATGTTTTATTTTCTCTTTTCAACGCTAGATGGCGCTGTAAGGAACATTACTATTAAAATGTTACTATTTCCATTATTTATTTATTGTAAACTAGGTGGCGCTCGGCACTTCGTTTTTTGCGGAATTAAAAATATGTTCTACATAAATGTTGGCATCAATATCCGTTAATCAGTTTCGGAGATCCATCGAAGTTTCGCATTTATAAACAGTAAAGTTAACTTCTATTTTGCCTGGACGTGACATTGCAAAACATCGTTAGTTCAAGAATACGATGTGATTTTAACCCTATACATCGTTGCAGCAAAATATTTAAATTTAAATCTAATTAGTTGTGAACGCAACAAATCTAATTGTTTGCTCACGGATTAACTATTGCGTAAAATGATCGATTCGAACTTGAACCCGCGTCACTGAGGCTACACGTCCAACAACAGTCTTATATGTCTTTATTTGATTACAGACTGTTCTAAATGTAGGAAAAACGGTTTTTATTGTGGCTTAATTCTTTATTTTATTTGCTTTGTATAAGCTCTAATTTCGCGATAGGTTTACCTCAGTTATTTTTTAATATTTTCACTTAACTAAAAGTTTTTAATTTTTTAGTTCCCGATCAGATGTTTACCTCTACGGAGTTCAACTAAAATACGTCAGTTATATTAAATTGGAAACAGTCCAAGTTTTTGTAACATCGAAGGTTATAAATTTTACGGTCGAAAGAACTTTGAAGACAATAAAGTTATTTTTACTTAAGTGAGGTTTACTTGTAAATGGTTATTTCAATAATTTTCTAAAGTAATTTTCTAGATGTCTGACGTAGGTGACAATTTTGCTTAAGGATGTAGATGGACCAGCGCAATAATTTCGCAACATCGCTGACGATTTCCCTCCGAAAGTTACTGTTCTGTGTTACATACGGCGTGGAATAAGATCGGCCGATGTTGCGGTGGCCAAGTCTCTATCTCTAACAAGTACGATTAATTTTGTTATTTACATTTTCAGTACTTTTTATAACACATCTATTATTTTACCTAAGTTCCTTTTTGTTTGTAATTTAAGGGTATGTTCACGTAAAGAGCTTTTCGTTTTAAATTACAATGTGGTCCACTCAATAAACTGTTAATAATTATTCCATTGTTTTAAATAATTGATGTACCATTTTTTAACATTTACTTGCGGTCGACATTCATATAATTATATGGATCTAGATTGCATGGGTACCCTTGATGAAATTCTCACATGACGTCACATTCGAAGAAAGTGTCCAAGGCAGGCGGCGCAGCGGGCAGCGCGCGGCCAGCCAGTCGGCAGCGAGCGCGGCCAGTCAGTTCATTCAGTCGGCAGGGAGCAGTCGCGGCGGCGCGCGGTATGGAGGAATTCGCGTAGCAATGTCGTTCCGCAGGCTGCTGAGTGCGGTGAGGTCCGCGCGAGACGCCCTCACTCGGGGCGCCCCGCTACCGGACGGCATCCTCAAATCCCTTATATCCCTAATCGTGATCTGCTGCATAGCGGTTTCATCACCGCAGACGGCTTCCGCCAAACCGTTCGCATTCAGCTTTCCCGCGGGCTGGTCGCTGGCCGGGCTGGTGGGCTCGGTGGGAGCGCGCTCCGAAGAGGCGGAGAGACGCGAGCCCGCCGCCGGCGTCAAGCCCTACACCGGCCGGCGCATCGGCAACGACACCTTGCGCATGGTCTACCACCACGACCAGACCGTCGCCGTCGTCGAGCTGGGGCCCAGCAAGTTGCTGCTCAATTGCGAGCTCATAGAGACGTAGTGAGTATAAATTTAAACTTCATTGAAATTAAATTGATATATTACAATAATTTTTAAATAACTTGACATTACTTAATTGCATTTTCTAAAGACATTCAGTAAAGACTTCAGTTGAAAAACATTACATAGAGGAATTTTGGTTTCAATTAAAGTTTGTAAAACATTTTTTATATATTTAAACAAGCTTAACAATTATTTTAACTTAAGTTTATGTTACCTTTACAACAAATAGTTGATAAACATAGATTTTAATACAAAGAAAATTCTGTAAGCAAGTAAAAGTAAGTAAAACAAAAAGCATACTGTAGCGAATAAATAACGTAACTAATTTGTGTGTAACGTGACGTAACTTTTCAAAAGTTTTTAAACATTTTACAACAAGGAATTTACTATCTTAGTTTATTACGATTTTAAAATAGAGTACGTTATAGTAGTAATAGCCTAAAACTTAGTGTAATTTATTATCCAATGCAAAAAAACTCAAGTAGTGAATAGACTATTGTGAGATCGTAGAGTGGCGAAGTGTCAATCTCATAGTCAATTGTGTTTAATTTAAATTATTGGCCGGCGACTTCGATGCCTTTTAAAATTGATTGGAAAATTAAACGCAGTGCACTCGATACGTCAGAAAAGGCGGGAAATGGAATATGAAGGGAGTTTTTGTACAGGGACTGCTTAAATTGAGTAATCCCTTTTTAACCATGAACTTTTTTACAATTGTTAAACATATTTAATACAATTCCTAATTAACACTAATTACAGATTACGTATAAACTATAATTAATTACTAAGTAACTGCAACATGCAAAATTCGCGCTCCTTGTGAAGTTCTGGGTGTCTGAAGTTTCCATTTACTTTCATTAATTTAATTCACCTACTGATTCAATAATGTGAGGTTGAAGTAAGTTTTAACGGAGTAAAACTCCTGTTACGTAGTTCGAAACGCATTTCATAGAGTAATCATAAGCAAAATAGGAGGGAAACCGGCCATTTATAAAATTGTGCCTCTATAACTGTCTATGAAAATTCATCATCTTCCAATCTCCTATAAATATACAGATAATGAAACTTTTTATAAGGTGCTGTAAGTGAATTCATTAAAAAATCTAGACAGCTTCAAGGAGTCGTGTGAAATTGGTCACGTGATCGTCCCAGGGGGCGCTCGTGTGCCGTGACGCAAATGGGCGCAATGTATAGCGTCCCTTGACAGGATCCGAGAGTTAATGGCAGAATGGACCTCTGAGTCATTACGACCGGGGTCACAGATAAGTTCCTAGTTTTTATAACAAGATATACGAACGTTTGAACATATAGGCTATAGGCGCATCATACAATATGCCGTAGTATTGAATGGGTACTCAACTGCGTAAGAAATCATTAAGGCAACCATATAACGTTTGAAAAAGTGATTTTATCTGAAGTTAGTTGCTTATTGATTAATTGTTCAATCATTAAAACTGAAATCATATTTATCCACTGCTATACTAGCGCCAGTTACTGTTTTTTGTGAGTGTCTGAATTATCCTATAATTCTTGCTTCTCGTACACTCACTTTTTAATAATTGGTGTCAGTAGTTAGTTTTATAAAACAAGTTTGTTGTTCAGAGAGACGAAAATTGAATATTAAACATATCTTATTAATAGTCGTTGAGTTTCACTAAAAGAACGACGGTAAAAGTATACTAATTATATTCTAATGTACGCTTAATAATGGTGAAGACACGTGCGTTAGCTAGTTTAATAATATTGATTCAAATAGAACAATCTGTTATATAAATACGGATGTCTCTTAATATGTAGCGAACAATCGAAACTTCTTACACAATATAATTAATATTCAGACGAGCAGATAGTTCAACAAACCAGCCGCGGCCTCCCACCTGACTTGTTACCTTACATTTACATTGCTGAAAGACCACTGGTACTGGTACAATTATATATTTAAATCTATAAAGATTCAAATCCGGTTTTTAAGGGCCTGTTCTAAACTAACCCAAGGTGACAGTCAATAGAAGCCAACTAGTTTGTACAGCAACTTTCACTTAAGGCGTCACTTATCCTCTTCCTAAACGTGAAGTAAATTGAAACATGTTTGAACAATGAAAACATAACTCACTTCAGGCGTATATTCAGCTACCTCTCATTAATTTTTCATTACCCAGTATAGGATCGATAGTATAGCGATGACGTTTACCATTTGTCCGGTACCGTCCGGTATCACCCTTGACCTGTTCAGTAGGAACACAGCCACGTATGCTTCCAAATTGGTAACTGTTGTAGACAGGTATCGATTTTTATAGCTATTAATTGAAAGGTATGACCTTAACATATAACTACAATAAACGGACATGCGAAGATAGTAAGATTTGTATGTAACGTTTTATATCGTTTATTTTAATGTAATACACTAGACAAACAGTTAAATATTGAAACCAGCTTTTGCCCGCGACTCCATCTGCGTGGAATAAAAAAATACAAAAGTAATTAGTCTATGTGTTGTTCCAGATTATCCTCTACATCTATGCCAAATTTCATCAAGATCCGTTCAGCCGTTTAGGCTACAAATTCTAACAAACATCCATCTAAACTTTCGCATTTATAATATTAGTAAGATAGTATGATAGATTCTGGATTACAATTTGAGATTAATTGCCCAAAGAATAATTAAACAAGAAACATCAAGCATGCGCATTAGCATAACACACGTAATTCAAAATGTTTGCGTGTTTCACAAGAGAGCATTACAAAATTTGCGGCTGATTATCATCAATAACCTCATCACGTAGTCGTAATACTGCTGACTCACCTCATTAAATATTCATTTTCATAATAGTAAAAGAAATAAAATCAATATAATTATGAAATATCTCCAAGCTTTACTTAGAAAAAATATTCAAAATATCACAATTTACAATACACTTAACTTTAACAAAGTTAAGAGGTTATTTACGTAAAAGTCGGGTAAATTATCGTCCTGCGCCTTTTTTTTTAACGTCAAGGAAGAAAGTCATTGTGTCGTATTGTATGAGCGAAAGTGAAAGTGTTTTGCTCGTGTTGTGATGACGTCGAAAGCAACGATATAGAATTCACTTTCTTTATAGCCTTCATGACTTGACAACAAATGAACTATAGTAACATCGCTTATACCATAGCTAAAGAGTTATTTATATGAATACGCAATAAACTTGATTTAACTATCCAAATATGGTTTAGAGCGTTGTGCGATTGTCGATTGTTTCGGAGCCAATTCAACTGTTTAGTTGCACAACTAACAATCGAGTAGTGCACCTCCATATACGCTAGCAGGAATCAAAGCGAAACTAAACAGTTAAGCGATAGTTTAGTCATAGGTGTGCGAGATCTGATATAATTACAATAATTCTTGATGTATGAGATCAGTCTTGATTGCTTTATAACCACAGTTATATCTACTCCAGCTATCATAACATTGTTACTATTGTTATGGGTATTTTCTCTACAATGTCAAGTGTAGTTGTTTCGCACGCGAGATTGTTACATGAATGGATGTAATAACATGAGTACATTAGTTCCGCTTTCTTATTCTGTATTACTCATTTACCTGTGTTCCTACAACTTGGTTGTGACATAAGGCAGAGGTTATAATAATCAATCGAAATTTTCGAGAACTAACTAAGTTTTCATTCATAACGACATAATCAGTCATGGTCGTCAGGATTGGGACGCATTGATCTCAAATATTGCATAGACTAATTAGGTTTCTTTTTAATTGTCATGTCCAAGTCGGGAATTACACACACAGAGTATCCAATGTAACTTGACATACGATGCGTCACATGAACCCCTGTATTCACGCTGTGATACCGTTACTGAGTTTATGGTCGCCATCACCAAACGCTAATAAGAATACGATCCATTGTTTTGAATCACGATGCTCTGTGAATGTAACCCACGAGCGTATGACTACAAATACAGTTGTCTTAAATTATCCTATTATTCTATAACTAGCTGTCGCCCGCGACTCCAATGTGAGATTAAAAATAAAAACAAAAGTGAGTAGACTACGTGTTCTTCCAGACTGCAACTGTACCAAATTTCATCAAAATCTGTTCAGCTATTTAGGCTACAAACTCTAACATTCATCCATCTATCCATCTAAACTTTCGCATTTATAATATTAATAAGATTACAAGGAACTTTTTACTCTCATAAACAAATTAAATGCATACTTGAAAACTGCTCCTTCTATAAGTGCACGGGTTGTAAAATTTACTATTCGCTCAAGTTATTTCTTACAAATCGAGCGAGCAATAGAGTTGCCGGATCTAGATTCGTGTTCTCATCCCGTCGAGTGGTAAGCCGGTGGTGTCGTCCATTACGTGCCACAAAAGGCACAATGGCAGCTCGGCTGATTGTTGCTTGATCGCGCACCGCACACCGCAAGGACGACATGTATGGAATAATCCAGCACGGAAAGGTCGTGAACTCTATCGACTTCCTATATCCTTCACAGTTTATAATCCTTCAAGTTATGTTCATTACATAGCTATATAATTACTGTATACCAGGATAAGAATCATAAGGCTAATTGAAGTATTAAATTCAGTTATTTTTTAATTCAAATGTATCAATTAGATTTGCTCAGCTGCGTCAGCACTTGCACAGCTTCCGTAACCGGGTCATTCAGTCAGGCTTCCTGGCCTATACCTTTATATTATAGCGCACTTTTTAATATTTTCCACGTGACTTCTCACCACGCGTACTGATTCATGTTTTACTTAATACAATAACAATGTCTGTGCAAGGGCAAGAACTTTTCTTTTTATATTTAAAGAGCAAGTTCAGTTACGTTTCCTTTCTTGTGTTTTGTTGTGTTGTCAAATAAATTATAACCTAAAATTAGTTACAGACTACTTTCTTTCAACAAAACCTAGTTATATATCATGCGCTAACATATGTTAGTGGGTCACTTTCTCAAGTTTATCATTTCTAAGGCAAACGTAGCAATGTCATAAACACGTCTACATACGACATAGTTGATGATAACACATGGAAGTGTAATTTGAACTGGTTTTGACTGTTCCATTTATAACATGAACAAATTTGGATAATTTAAGAAGGTTATTTGGTATTCCGTACTAACCTTTGGTTACCTTATGGGCCAAAAATCTTTTTTCATTAGTGCACTGACTCCTAAGAATAATTCTTATTCGATGCTCCCTAAGATACTCGATCGTCATCGTAGGAAACAGAACGGTTCATCTGAATCAAAATGATTTATTGTATCCCGAAACTGAGCAGTTTAAAATGGCCATTGTCAAATTATTAGTAGTGGCAATTTATACATTGTCAGGCTATTGTATTGCTATTCGCGATTCAATTCCTTGCCTCCGTTCTAGAAGGATCAAGAGGTGGACGAGAGGCGAGAGGGGAGGGTCTGGCGACGGCGAGGGACGCTCGCGCTCTCTGATTGGCCCATTGAGCAATTGACGCATGCGTCTGCTCATGGTGGCAGATTGCGTTCATACTAAAGAGAAAAATTTCGTAATTCTCTTCGTATTTTACTGTTAATTTAATATTAGAGAAAATTATGAGCAAACACACAACTCATGTTTAGTCTTCAGGTCATACAGGTTACAATTGTCGGGACTCAAGCCTTAAGTTAGAGCTGAATAGGTAACGCTGGTCTGGTACAGATAACATTGACAGCGGATTATTACTCATTATAAAGAATGTAATAATAGTAACTATAAAGCGAAGCAGAATGTTTGATAAACACTTATTCCGTCATCCTACATTGAAGTTAATTGGCGACTACTTTTACTGGTTGTTGATAAAATAAATGATAGTATAATGTAGTTATATTTGCGTAATTTCCTTGCTAATTAGACTATTTTGGTAACCATATATTCACTTGAACCGTATTTTGGCGGGTATTAAATATAAACTTGCACGTTACTTTTATCAAGTCAATTTTTCTATGTACTTATTGCATAACAGCGTCCAAATTGTAGCGTCGTCCATGCTGTCGCATCGGCAGAGACGGGCGGCGACGGCGACAGACACACACTCTAGTCTACTCTGAGGACTCGATCACCATATATCATCTCAACAAACAGGAACAGTTCCCACGGACAGCCACTACACAGGTCACTTTTGGTTGGTCTGGATGTAATAATTTTCCCCAATAATAAGATGTAAATAGATAAGTCCATAAACGGATAATTTTTTGTTTGTTATATGATTTTGAGGTCTATTCTATTACATAAAAACCCGTGTATCTTGTAATTGTTAGATAATAATGTTTTTACATTATCCATCGTATTAGTTACTAAAATGTCGTTGGTAACACAGCGACAAATAATTGCGCGTCCATCGTCCTTGAGCTAGATTTCCTCTGGTTTCGCAACCGGCTGCCAGCTCCGGAGGTTCAATATTACAGCCTAATCCGTGCTTTTGTAGCGATTTATAAACAAGTCAGGTACAGCCTGGACTCATAACTTATTATCGAATAAAACTTGGTGATAAAAAAGATATTGCAACTCTTTAACCTTAGATATTCACATGTTCACAAATTCTTTTGTAAAAAAAAAACAAGTAGACTTAGAATTGCTTATTTAATTCTTACAGAACGCCGTTTACTTGTCAGTGTATCATACTTATTACTTTAGGTTCTACATAGTAGGAATTTGCTACCTTCCCTTACTTTCTTGGAAAGAAATTATTTTCAAGAAACGCTTTCTTATCGTACACTATCGAGGTGAACACTATTGCAACTATATGATTCGTTGACAAAGAGTTGCTCTTTCTTCAATGTATTTATTTTATCAAATGCATTGTGTTAACTCATATACAAAAAAATGTCTTTTTTTTATAGACGTCATACAAATGTTAACTTGAAAAGATAAACGTGTTTCGGAAGTGGGTTACAAATACCATTTGTATTGACTTTCGTTTTACATAAGCTGCACGTAACACTGAGCTCTAGACAACGAAAATATAACTAACCTACTTTAATATTTAACCTCCTTTCTATAAATTATTTGTCATTGGTTTTATCAATAAACATTTTAATTTTGTGCTTCATAAACTCAATATCTCATAACCTATTCGAAGCCATATACTAGCGGTGTGAACATCGCATTTTGAACCGTTTGCGATGCCGGCTACCGGTTTCTAATGTGAACAGGATCACTGTAAAGTATGACAATCGGAAAGGAAGTGTGTTTGTCGCTGAGCATGTCGGTATGTCTGCCCAGCGGAGCGCAACCAGTCGGATATCAACATCGATTTCCGACAATTATTAGCATTGACAACGCACAAGAAAGTTATTTATTATCTTCGTTATGTAAAAGTAGATCGAAATTCCGCTTTGAATTTATTTCCAAATACTAGGAAGCAATAAAGTTAATTTATAGATAAATTAAAAATATAACATCCGTTTACCAATTGCTATATTTATAAAGAAACAAATTCTTCCTTATGCGATTACATTTTTATTTTTCGACAAATGATAGGAATCAGCACTTTACTGTTACTTTCCTTTATCATAATCTATTCCACTGTTGACGCGTGTTGTCGCATCACGCGAGATCACATCACAAGTAGAGTGAGCGTTGCTGGAGAAAGTGAGGTCGGCCGTCGCCGCTGGCGTTGCGCAACCGCGGCCTCGAACCCCGCACTCTACCGCATATGGGTCAATGGAAGTAGGACAATTGCCCGCCAATTGTTAAATTGACCCTACGCATGCTCTAACGCACAACTCTAAGGTGGTTCAAAAATTCATTCTTAGCTCTATAGCCCTTTGTACCTAAAAATGCTATCAGATAGATCTGTTAACTTTGTTTTTCTTATTCCAGTGATGAAGAAGACACGAGCCGGCTGCTGCGGCAGCTGACGCGCATCAACCGACCCCTCGACGTCAGCTTCCCGCAGATGATTAAGCTCATGAGCCAATGTCAGCAGGTAACAATACTTACTATCTCCCCAAGAAGATATATGCTCGTTAATAACGAAGCCAATACTATAATTGAATCTGGTAAATAAGTAAAAATATCAAAATAATAATTAGAAGGAATTTTTCATTAACTTACGGAAAGAAAAAATAAAATGGAGTTAACAGTCTGATGATAAAATATTTTCACAAAATTAGTTCTAAAATAAACATACTAAAGAACATATAAGCACAATGTGCTTAACTTTCGGTAACAAAAGACTCGCTAACATTATCCGAGGAGTACTTATTCTGTCAAGTCAAGTTTCAGAAACAAAAAGCGGCCTCAAACTGAGAGGCTCTGTGATGCGAGTTTAGCAGAGCTATGGCCAACTTTAGCTCATCAACATAACATACTTAATGACTATTCTTTTATACGAACGAAAAAAATGAGACTTTAAACTTTTAAATAAAACGAAAAAAGGTTTGCAACAAAACAAAACTATGTAAAATATGAAATAAGTAATTCTTAATAAGGAATGAGTATTTAATTCTCATTCTGTTTAAAATTAGAGGAGAAATAGAATGTACATGCAAAATAGAGAAATTCAAAGAAAGTAAACAAGACATCGACAGAATACTGACACAATGGCGGGAAACAGTGAATTATATGCACAATAGTGTTTATACGCTTTGAGCCTCGCACCCGCGCTACACTACCCGCAAACAATACTGTTTTCACTTCACTGCTCCCGTAAACTCTTCAATGTACGTAATTCATTGTAATTGCAACATTTAGCAGTTACTTGACACAATAAATCCCGCTCCGGCTCACGATGTAAGCAGCGGGTTTGTCGTTTAATATCTAAGAAAAGCTTTTGCTGCATGATTAATTTTAAACTATCTGAGATTTACTGAATTTAAAATACAAATTTTTCTGCATAAAGTTGCGTAATTTTCTACGTATGCAACTTATTTGCCTTGGATGTCTGGTGCAAAATAAAAGTAAAAAAATGATGGTCACAAGCAAAGTGCGCTAACGGTCATTATCCGAAATGCGCCGCCATCACAAACAAGCCATTACTATAATGATGTGTATCGGGGTTCCCTACACTTTAAATAAAACCTTCTATTCAAATAAAATATTGTTCTTCTATTAAAAAACAGGTTTACAAATTAAATAATAAAGAAATATTGACTATCATAGATATAAAAGTAATCTTTAGTGATCCTAGTAAATGGTAATGAACTTATGCGGAATCCTTTTAAACATTACTTGCGTTTATTTTCAAAGCTATTTGTTTTTGCGTACAAAAAAAATCACCTGTCACACACGACCTTGACACGAATCATCAATATTTCCCGCCACTTCCGAACCACCGATAATATTGCTCAGTACGCTTTGCAAATTGTTTATGATGTTGTATTACGTAATTATTTTCTAATTATATTTTTATTCAGAGAAATTTAAGGATATTGACTCAACATGGTTCCATAATGTACGTGCTTAAGAGATTTACTAGCTAACAAATAACTTGTATATCCTCATGTAGAAAATGAGCCATTAATTGAAGCGTAATGTTTTGGTTCCTGTATTGTTATGTATGTGTTGCGTATGTCAGGTGGAGGGCGTGGAGGCGTGGGACAGCGGGCGCGCGGACAGCGGGGCGTGGCGCGAGCGCGGCGCGGCGGCGCGTTTGCGGGCAGGCGGCGCGCACGCCGGCCTGCTCGGCGGCAGCCCGCTATCGCTGCTGCAGGGCATCATACCTGGTATCTATCTGACCATGATAAAGATCGTTTGTAGTTGTTGTTTTAAACAAATGCAAAAATATGTGTGTGACATTTGCAGGTACAAAGTGGTGCGGCACGGGCGACATAGCGGCCGACTACCACGACCTGGGCGCGGACCGCGCGCTGGACCGCTGTTGTCGCACGCATGACCTCTGCCCCACCAAGGTGCGCGCCTTCTCGCGCCGCTACAACCTCACCAACAACTCTCTCTACAGCAAGTCGCACTGCACCTGCGACGACATGCTCTTCGACTGCCTCAAGCACACCAACACCTCCGCCGCACACCTCATGGGCCACATCTACTTCAACCTCGTGCAGGTGCCTTGTCTCGAAGACAAGCCCACCGGCAGACAGTTCAGAGAAGCAAAGCAAGGGTTCTAGTGACATCTAGCGGCGGGAAGTGTAACGAATAACAGCGCCATCAGACGTGAACTTTTGTATTTCGCACAGTTTTGTTTTTGTTATGCTGTAATATTGCATTTAAAGTGTGCGTTAAATGTGTAAATATTTAGATAATATATATTCTTATAATTAATTAATTAGATTTTAAACCTGTGATATGTCTGTGCCTTGAAATGGTCTGTAAAATATTTGTAAGATGGCGCTGTCGACGATAATGAAGTAGTCAATAGTTAAGGATTATTTATTTTTCCTATTTCATTTTTTTGGCTGTTACTAATTGAGTTTCTGAGGAATAAAATTTGTTTTTGAGAGAACTAATTTTAATTTACTTCATGGAATAAAATGTGGGTTATGAGATCATTATACTGTACATCAATAAATGTAAATTAAATATACCAAATAAATATATTTAGTATGTTATTTTAGACTTTTATTACATCTTGTAACATGGTATTCAACAAAAACTAGAACTTCTAGTCGCGACGCGACCACGCAGGCCCATATTGCTTATGACAATCCGGAGAAATAACAACCTCGTCAAAATAATATTAGTCCTTATGAAGTCGACTTTACACTTTCATAGAACCGTAAATTCACCTTCATAATAAAGATACGAAATATTATGCAACGCGAATTACAAGGTATATTTTCTGATCGAACTGAAACCTAGAAACACAGTGATTCGCTATTGTCGTCGAGCCCAGACACTTTTGTCGTACCGTTTAATCTGTATTTTATTTTCTTACCATTATTTTTATTCATTCTACCTATTTCCTATCTGTCTAATAGACATGCACTCCACTTAAACCGGTGACCTGCAGCTCTGCTCTCGGTTTAAATGTGTAATGTAGATTAGTGAAGCGACTCGCAGATCAGCGCATTGTATACATTTTCATTTGCATAGAGCTAAAATATACGTTAGGACTACAGAATTTATGGCTCATCGGCTCCCAGAGTTATAGTATATCGCTTTCAGCTGTTAGCTGATGATTAAGTTGTTGAGTCGCAGCTCAACGGTTCACGACAACTCGAACTGATCTGCTGAACATGTTCAAAGCTTTAACATCTAGTCTAGTCACTAGTCTACTGTCTAAGGTTAAACGTCAAAGTCACTTGTCAAACAATTTTCAAGAACCGTAATTTCTCTAATTTTACGCTTAATTTCAATATGAGTCAGTGTCTTAAACCTTAAAACAATGTTGAAAAATCGAAAAATACAGTCTTGTTAGTCATAACTACTATCAGGTGCGATGAATGACCAATCTGAGATGTCTGGCGAGACGACAGTTGCAGGTGTGTTTTTGTGATTTTCGCATCGTTATTTGGTCTCAGAGCGTATCATAACGGACCGAAAATTGGACAAGCACAAGAAGGAAATGTGTATTGAGTCGTTACATGTATATATCGGCATTGCACTCTACGCTATGCTTTCTTCGTTTAAAATGCTTTCATGCTTACTTTTTGCACCTGCACCTATTCGGTGGTCCGTGGTGCGCATTTACCTGCCGTCCAAACGGCTGAGTAGTGTTTCTGTTTCAAGTTGAGGACGGAGGAAGCGGGCCTCCCTCACCGGACACGGCAAGACGCGACCTCGAAGAGGAATTTAACATCCAGAGAGCAAAAATGAAAGAGCTTTTTTTACAGAAAGAAGGTTTGTAGCTTAAGTTAGTCGATGCTACATAGTGGTAACGGTTTGTTCAATGCTTCATTAGGAATATGTCTTTCAATATCATACAAGTAGTTACTATTAAACCTGACGGCATGCTTATCAGAATTTTTTTTTTAAATGTATTTAATGTTAAAATTAAAAATGAAAAATTGAGAACAAACATATATACATGTTTTTAAATATACACTTAGAAATGATTGTTTTTCTGCTATCCAAAAAGTAACTTAAACGGTATATAAATGTAAATGCTTTATATGTGATTTTGTTTGGCTTTCACTTATGTAATGACTCAATGTGCTTATGTGTTGCTTAATGTTTATAACAAATTGTTATTGTTAGGTCTTTATTAACAATTCTTTCAATTTTATTTCATATAAAGAAATAAATCTAAGATCACACAAACTTCTTTAGAAACCTAGTAATACTTTTGAAAGTGGTTAAAAAATGCACAGAAACCACCACAATATAATTTTTTTGTTTTTATCAAAAAAAGGGATCTCTACATTACAACAGATTAATTAAACATTGATAAAAATGTTATTTTTACATGGCATATAATGTTGTTTGTGCAGAGGACATGCGTAAGATGGTGGTAGAGCGGGAGCAGCTGCAGTCGGAGGTGCTCAGCCTGCGTGCCGCGCTGCAGCAGCTGCAGACCCTCAGCCACAACCAGAAGTCGGAGATACAGAGTTTACAGCTACTTGTCAGTGGTTAGTGTTCTTCTAACTTTTATAATGTTTAAATGATTACATATATGATTAAATTGGTTAAAAAAATTACTCACTTACTTTAATAAACTAATGTGAAATTTTTAGATAAATATGTTCTATAAATATCCTAACACAAAGTGTAATGGCTGTTGCTTGCGAATTCGTCAGCCTATAATGAAAAGATAGAAAAATAAGTATAGCTTACTGGCTCTCACCAGCGACTCCGTCTGGGTGGTATTAAAAAAAAGTGGGTAGCCTATGTGTTCTTCCAGATTTGTTAGTAACATCAGTAAGATGATACTAAAATCGGACAAGTAGTTTTTGAGTAATACAAATCTTCCTAATGTTCCCTCACTCCCTCTTATATTTCCTCTTTATAATATTAATGTAGATAATGTATACTTGCAGAGACTGTGGAGGCGTCTTCTTCTGGCACGGAGGAGGTGCGGCGGCTGCGCGCGCGCACCCTCGACCTGGAGCACCAGCTGCGACAGCAGCAGCAGATGGTGAGACATACATACAAAAACACTGGCAGAGTTAACCTCATTGTAATAACTCATATACTATATTGTTGTATTAGTTTTTAGCAGTGTGAACTCACTTGGAGTCTTTGTAATTAAGTAGGCACTAACTTGATAAGGAACCACTTAGTGTTAATTTTTTACTCTTATTATGAAAAACATATGATGCATAGAAATTTGAGTCTTATTGATTGTGAATAGGGTAGGTTTTCAATTGTAGGGCATTATGTTACGTTTTTAAAACACCAGTATCGTAAAGTGGCGGAACTTGGAGCGATAGTATGGAGAGTGTTTTGTTGTATTTCACATGTTTTGTATCTCATTATAGTGTACGAGCTGTTGCCCGCGACTTCGTCCGCGTGGTATTAGAAAACATACAAACTATAAAAATTACAAAAAGCTACGTATCCCTCGGGAACCGGACATTTCTCGGGGATGAAGCTTATCCCATGTGTACTCCAGACTTTGTTGTAGATATAAAAATGTGCCAAATTTCAATAAGATATGTTGAACCGTTGCAGAATGATCGAGTAAACATTAAAAAACTAAATTAATGAATCCCTCGGGAACCGTAACTATTCCAGGGATAAAAAGTAGCTTATGCTTCCAGACTATGCTCTAAACCTGTGCCAAATTTCATGGAGATCCGTTCAGCCGTTTAGGCTACAAACGCTAACAAACATCCATCCATCCATCCATCTAAACTCGCATTTATAATATTAACATAAGGTTGTCGCAGTTGAAAACATTGTCAGTTATCTTATTTCTTACTAATGTTATAAATGCAAATGTTTACTACTATGGATGGCTCTGAAGTTTGGCATATATGTCTAGTAAAGTCTGGAAGAATACAATTATGTAGTAAGTTTTCTTTTCTTAATTCCGCAGGGATGTAGTTGTGGACAAAAGCTAGTTTAAACTTCCCTAATGTGATATTTAACACTGAGTGAGGCGCAGTGTTAGGTGGATTTAGTCTGTGTCCGAATGTAGTAGGATAAAGTCGTGTCAATAATCTTTATAAAAGAAAATATATTGCGGAAAGAAGATATTTTTTTGTATCCAATTATGTGGCGAATAGTATGTGTTTAACTTGTTACCGACAGCGCGGCAGCCAAAAATACAAAACACTTATTATAAAACAAACATATCTTTATTTAAAACTTATTTACACAAAAAATATACAAAACTTAAAACTCTCTTGATTACATCTTGACTTCTTCTTTTTATATATTTTCTTTTACAAACAATTATTGCCTTGGTGGCCAGTATGCAACCTCTTTGGCTGTATACAATACTGCTTGTCAGCCAAAGAGGTTGTATTTTGCACTCAACAGTATGGCTTATAAATTATTATCTATTAGATTTACATTTGTTTTTTATATTTTTGTAATTTATTTTCATATAACTTTTAAATTTTCAAGAACCAAGCAGACTGCAGACGTTTATTGTTTGATAGTATTACTAAAATCATATTAAACTAAATTGTTGTAATGTGTATACATCTATAAATGCTTATTCTGATTAGACACTTTAAACTATCGGTGGATAAAAAGTCTGCGGGGGCTCCAAGGAACGAAACATCTTGATTTTCCAGTTATCGTTTTCAACAAGTACTTGTAAAATTGTTGCAATATATGTTATTACCTTATTAAATAGTACATAATATTCTGTTCTTTAAAATAAATGAAACCCTGTATGATATAATATGGCAGGTTTAACATATGAGTGAGCGTGTATACAATGGTAATGGGCAGTGTGTGTCAGGAGCTGTCGCTGGCGCCGGCCACCTTCGTGCGGTCGCTGGCGCGCAAGCTCGGCGCAGACCCCGACACCGACCTGCCGCAGAGACGGGTATGGTATATCAACCTTACACACACATTCATACTGAACATCTGACACGACACAAGCTACTGGCTTATTTAAATTTTACTGTCATGTGTATTACTGCCCTTATCAGTTAATTTCAATGTCAGAATGTGGAAGACAATGAGCTGCTGAACTCCATCATCCAGCCGCTGGAGCTGGAGATATCCGCGCTCAAGAACAAGCTCAGGGAGACGGACGCGCAGCTGCAGGACGCTTTGGTACCATTCTAATACTTAACATGTATAAATCAAAGTAATTGTTACTTGGTTAAACTTGTTTAAATTATTATTTGCAACAATATAGAAAGTGAAGGCAGCGCCGGCGGACGCGGCGCCCTCGACCGGCTCCAGCGGCGACGTCAAGCAGGACTCAGGTGATGTAACAATAATATTGATTGTTACAGTAAATTTGATAGGGTTTCTAATGTAATTGTATGTGCAGAGAGCGCGCGGCAATGCGATATGTGCGCCAACTACGAGCGGCAGCTGGTGGCGGCGCAGGGCCGCGCTGACGCCGCGCGCGACAAGGCCCTGCAGCTGGAGCAGGCGCTCAAACTGGTCTGTACTGCTCTGTACTGCTCTGTACTGCTCTGCGTGACATGCTTATAGCATGTACAATCGGGGAATCTGACGATGTTACACACTTAAAATGTAGTTTGAACATTTTGTACGCATTAATACGATGATAAATAACAATAACCGCATGTTTTTTGAACGGTTATTTGTAAGAAGAGGTGCGCGGTGTGTGCAGGCGACGGAGGAGCTGGAGGGCGTGCGGTCGCTGCACGAGGAGACGCTGGTGGGCGCGGGCGCGTGGCGCGCGGCGGGCGGCGCGCGGCTGGCGGCGCTGGAGGCGCGGCTGGAGGCTGCGGCCGCCGCGCTGCAGCAGCGCCAGGCCGCCGCCGCCGCCGCCGAGCAGCGCGCGCTGCACACCGTCACCACGCTCACCGTGCACCGGGAGACGCTGCAGAGGAAACTGGACGCGTCCGTACCTTACACACCACACCACACCACGTACACACAGCACATAATAGATGTTTATATTGTATTTATCTGCAGGTTAGAACGAGACAACGCCATGCTGATGGGCCAGTACACGAAGAAGGCGGAGGAAATGCAGAACGAAATAATAGATCTACCGGATAACGTCGAGGTGAGGGTCGACTGTCATTAGGCATGTCTGTGGCCGAGACGCGGAGGTGCAGCGCGGTGATGTGTGCAGGAGCTGCAGGAGCAGCAGCTGCGGCTGCGCGAGCAGCTGATCGTGTGCGAGGTGGGGCGCGAGGAGGCGGTGGCGGCGGAGCGCGACCTGCGCGCGCAGCTGCTGCAGCACGGCGCGCTCTTTCACCGCCAGGAGGAGGCGCTCGCCGCCACCAGGGACCAGCTCAAGGCCGCCAAGTTAGACATAACGCAGTCGGACATTACGGCAGAACGAGGAGTCGATGACATATTTGTGTAATGTTTCTTCGTCCTGGGTGTGTACAGGGAGGAGCTGGACCGGCTGCAGACGGAGCGCGAGCAGATGCAGCAGCTGGCGGACAAGCTGCGCCACTCCAACGACATGATCGAGCAGCTGCTGGAGGACAAGGTACGGGAGCGGGGTGAGGAAGCGGCGGTGTGTGCGATAGGGAGGTGGTGACGGCGGGTGGTGTGGTGTTGCAGAAGCGGCTGCAGGGGGAGGTGTGCGAGGTGCGCGGGCGGGTGCACGCGCTGCAGCTGGAGCTGGACAACAGCGAGAAGGTGCAGCAGGACTTCGTGCGGCTGTCGCAGTCGCTGCAGGTGCAGCTGGAGCGCATCCGCGAGGCGGACACGGAGGTGCGGTGGCAGCACGAGGAGGACGTGAGCGAGTGCCCCGCGTGCCGCGCGCCGCTGCCCACCGCCAAGAAGAAGGTGCACTGCCGGCACTGCGGCCGCATCTTCTGCGGCGCGTGCGTCGCGCACACCGTGCCCAGCGGGCCCCGCGGCGCGCCCGCGCGCGTCTGCGGCGTCTGCCGCACGCTGCTGCAGCCGCACGCCGCGCCCTACTTCAGCACCGACCCGCCGCACTGACCGCCGCACTGACCGCCAACACGCCGCCAACACCCCGCCACCGCACCACTACTGTGCACTCAACGAAACTTTGCCTATGTCACTTAAAAAATGACCGTAAGCCCTTTGTCTACTTATCCAACTAAATTGTAGTATTTTCACCCACTTTTATAGATCCGGTCTGAAACCGTGATGCATAAGTAATATTTGACCATTAAAAACTTCAAACTGTATCCAATCTGTCAAAATGACCGATCCATATTAAGACACGCTTGCTATCATTGTTCGTAAAAATTGCATAAGATTCTTAAAACTGTAACATTATGTCTGTTAAGGTGCAAATTGTTTAAAAATTATTTTGTATAAAATAAAAAAAATGTGTAAAATATTACGAACTTAAGTTATTAAGTGCTATTATGATTGTTATTTAATTTATCTAGTAAATGAATTTGTTTTTCTAACGAGAGTCTACTTGACTTCAACTATTTAAATTAGAACCAAATGCTAGTGGTTTGTTTGAAACATAGTTAGACTCTCGTTTGTTTGAGAGCTGTGCGTTTGGGCTCCTGTAAATATGAACATTTTATGGTTATTTAAATTGAATATAGATAGAATGTTCACACAGTATGTATATATTAGAGGACGACGTTCTGTGATCCTTCGCCTGTACTGAGGATATAAAATAGTTTCGAAATGTTTTAATAAACGTTTTTTGCACCATTTCTTCTATCCGTGTAGCACTTGTATAGAATAATGAACATTATTTTTCGTCTCTAATGTTTCAATGTTGCTAAGATCCTTGTATCATACTTGTCTTGTCACAGAACAGAGTCCGTGTCGGTTCGCAGCGGTCGTGTGATAAAGTGCTAACAGATGGCGCTTAGACCATTACATTATTTGTAATATAAATATATTTTATTGTAAATAATAAAGAGCTCCATATTATAAAGCGTTTTATTAATAATTTTAAATCCATTTACAAAAGACAATATTTTAATCAGATGTTTAAAAAACTATTCCTCAATAAGCATAGTTTACACACTTTACTTGGTCCATTTCCGACAGTTAATATCAAAAACAAGCTAACGCCATTTATTTTAGCTTATTTTTTATTTTTATTTATCGACGAAAGATAGCGCAACGTGTACATGAATTGGATATTTCTTAATGAAATAATTATTAATATTGTATGCATAACATACATTTGTAAATTAATAATATTCGATAAAAATGGTTTTCTTTTAATTTAATAGTTATATAATTCTTTTTATTATCATAGTATGAGAGTTGCAAATTATTTATTTTAAAATAAATTATCAACTTGCCTTCGCCAACGACTCCGACTGCGTAAATTAAAAAAAAAAATCCAGTAACAGAAAATAATCCTGTATGTATGTTGTTGAAATTCAGTGATTTGTTGTAAATGTAAACGGTAATTGATACGAGAAAAAACTTGTGTTGTTATACGTTTTTTTTATTTTATTTTCTAAAACTGGTAAACATTATTCACCATGCTCATTACAATAGATTCGCGAATTATTTAAATTAGGTATAATTCAATCACTGAGAAACGTGTCGGCGTGTCTTTGTCATTAGATATTACCGTACAAAGAAAGTACCGGGAAAAAAATGTTCCCTGGCGTCTATATATTTATTAATTGTCTGAAATTTCAACCTTACTCGCTCTCAGAATAATATGGATAATAAAAATAATGGGGAATTAAATAAACACACTTTACTTACAATATAATTTATTACATAAACATTTGTTAATAGCACAAACAAACCTATCTACAGTTGCCACATACGTTACTCTGGAAGTACACACGTCAACTCACAAACCATTACAAAATCTACAAACCAATGTCGCTGAGAAGTCTTTATGAAGTAAGGAATCTAGACTAAGGGCTTCCTTAAGTAACCATTTTGACAATGAAACATACATAGATAAATTATTAATTAACACCGCACCAAGTGGCCAGCATACAATTGTTGTGATGTAAAAGTTACAAATTAAATAATAGGAAATAATTGTGACTACATTTTATCATAAGTGTTAGACATGAAATAAAACAATAATTTTAAGTCAATTACTACTCGTAGCATTTAATTTTTTACTTTCTCATCCGCCATTTTGTGACGGCTGCCATTTTAGATTTCTTATAGGGTCGATGAGTAAAATAGTAGGAATTGAAAATTAACCATCAGAGCAATTATGTTCCAACAGAAAAATATTTAACAAAGAATAATATATAACTACATTATATTTTAGTTACATTATACCCGTTTTTATTCAATTTGGCCGCTCCAATAAAACTTCAGTCCTAATACTCAAATATTTTAAACTCTGCTAACAATATTACATATTTACTTAACTTGTCAAATTAAATTTCTTTCTCGAGTATATTCAAAGTCATGATTTTAGTTAAAACACGAAAAATAATACAATTAAGACAATATTTAAGCCTCTATTACTCATATATGTTAAAAAATCAACCATCATAAATACTAACTAGAAACTATTTAAGCACATTAAAAATGCATTTTTAAATAATAAGAAAATATCAGACATTTCACTGGGATTTACTCATGTGGGACTATGGCACAGTCGTAACTGTATTAAAAAAAATTATAACCTAAAAAAAATAAAAAGTGAGCAACCCTAGATTTCAGTGCGAGTTTGTACTCAGAAATGACTTAAGTCTTGTAAAAGTAAAAAACAAAAAACATATATTTTGTGACAGCAATTATTAATGTTTATTATTTACTTTAAATAAACATCAAATGTCATTCTGCATTAAACAACTGTTACGCTTTTCCTAATCCTGAATTAATATTGCATAGACTCGGCCATTTCATACAACTGTAGTCCTTTTAGCAGAAATTATGTATATCTTAATTTTATCTTCAACTGCTTTCATTTTTAGATATGTTGTGATCTTTGCTACAAATAGGTGCCTCAAAAACTAGTGGAGATATCGAAAATGTGATAGGAATTACAAAATATTTCATTCTAACTCTAATTTTTTTAATATAAAATGCAATATAGTTTTAATTCGAATTCAATTCAGTGTGTATTTGTTATAAGAAAAACTGTCTGAAAATACTTTAAATAGGTCCAACTTATAAGAAATAACATAAACTAACGCAACAATTATTCATAGATTTAATGATGGTTAAGGCAATATTATTTTAACGACTTTTTAAACTTTTAAAAATTATCCCACCTAATAAGAGAATTCTTAATCTTCGCAAAGAACATTAAAGATGTAAAATTCTTAACAATATAGTAATTTTATATATGTACACAGCCGAATTTTTGACTTACAAGAATAAAATGTATCAAGTCAAGGAATTCTTAGCGTAAAGATCTCTACAGTACATATTTCACAAGATAAAAATTCTTATATGCTTTTACTGTAAACCCATAAAAAGTGAGACTGAAAACTAGCCATATAATTACATAAATAAATGCAAACAAAAAGGCTATGTAAATGCAAATCGAACATTAAACAATTAAGCAGGTACTATGAAAACTATTTCCATTACATTGAACATCCCAACCAAATAATCACACATTTTCCATCTTTTGTAGTAACTTTTTAAAGATTTTATAAATGAAAAGTAAAAGCGATAAAAACCACAATAGAAACCGCAGCAGATGCACCTCGGTCAGTCTTCGCGCACAATCACAACCGCAATTTGTTCACAAATCTTACCTCAGGCAGAACAATATAAAGTGGAGAAACATTCAGTGAAAGTTTTAAACTATCAAACGGTTTTAGTTTCAATTCGAAAAAATGTTAATTCTTTTTTAAGTCTTCATTTTAATTTAAATATATGATGGATTTCAATCACATCGTCTCACTTATATTTTTATAGGATTCCTCAAAACTTTTTAAATTTTATTTCCTATCAGACACAACACTGTATTCTTCAACTAGACCTCTCACCCTGGTGCTCCTTCTCTTTTCTTTTTATTTATATTTTGACATCATAACTAGGGTGTGCTGAGCAGTAGTGCGCGGGGCGGGACTAGGGCGGAGCTATCGCGGAGCGAGGGCGGGGCCTAGAAGTGTTGTGTGCGGGGCTCGGGGCGCGCGCGCTCGTAGAACAGCATGTAGGCGGAGCAGCGCAGCACCTCCTGCAGCGCCACCTCGTGCACCAGCGTGTCCGATGTGTACCACCATCTGGTCGACAATAACCCGTTCATACAATACAAAATAGGTTAATAAGTTAGTTAGGAGTGAACGTAAGATGTAGAGGTGTGTTCACCTCTTGCTCTCGAAGCCGTTCCCGCGGCGGTATGTGGCGAAGTGTCCGGAGCGCGGGCCGCCCACGTGCACCACCACGGCCGCCAGCCGGTAGGCCGCGCGATCCGCGCCCTCCGCCCCCGCCGCCGCCCCCGCCCCGCCCCCCAGCAGCGCCGCCAGCTCGCTCTGCGCCGCAAACAATACTGACTCTCTTTTCATCCACGGAACAAAGGGAACCTCGACCGATGTGACCGACCCTACCTGTGGCTGCTGGCGCGCGGCGTAGGGCGCCATGTTCAGGGTCTCCGGGAAGGCGACGAACTCGCCGCGCTTGCTGAGCCCGCCGCCCGACCACTCCACGCGCGCCACGTGCAGGCACAGGCAGCACGGCAACTGGACATAAACACATATACACATGTACTCAATTCAATTCTGAACAGGTCGCTCATTTAATAGAATTCTTAATAGTACCTTGCCGAAGCTGACGGTGCGTATGTGTTTGGTCTGCATGCCGCCGTCCTCTGGCGAGCACTTGCTGCAGCGCACGCCCTTCACCATCTCCGGCGCAGTGAAGGCTCGCAGCAGACCTGCAGGTTATATTACATATCAGATATCTCCGCCGCTTTCAGTGTAGCAGATGTGTCATGTAACATACCGGGCAGGCTGAAGGCGCCGGTGCGGCCGGCGCTCGCGTTGGCCATCGACAGTGAAATACTGTCGAACTTGTCGTACCGCACCGGGCTCTGTGAAATACCACAATTTACAGGTGTTCAGTGTACCTTAAACCCATAGAAAACCATAGTAAAAGCAATTATCTGAGCAATTTTAAAACCTTTGTTGAGCAGACAGTGCACTGCAGGCGCGAGGCGAGCGTGCCGCGCGTGGGCGGCGCGGGGGCGGGGCGCGCGGGGGCCGCCGCCCAGCGCCGCGCCGCCGTGCCCAGCTGACACAACGAGCGCGACACGCCGCGGGACAGCTTAGCGGGCTCCGGGGGAGGCTCTGCCCATAAATATTTACATGTTTATCTTACACATATAAAAACAATTGCTTAATTTCTTGATATGGGAATAAAACCTGGGTCTGCAAGGTCCGGTTCATCAGGTGGCGCAGCGGAAGCGGGACGCAGGGACAACGGTGCCGCGGGTGGTGAAGCCGGTGACGCCAACGCCGACCAGGCCCGTCCACCTGCACCTAGGCCCAGTGCATCGGAGAGGCAACCCGGCTGCAAGTTAATAGTTACCATTTTATACAGCACTTGGCATTTTCTATGATAAATACAGATCAACAAAACTAGAAATTCATCTCACCTTCCTTGCCATAGCAGTAGTTTCCTCCTCAATGCATGATAAAAGAACATGCAGTAACTCATGAGCATCCTGCTGATCTGCAGGGATCACCCAGCCGGCTGCACGCAATGACTGGAGCACGCCCAGTGGACACACCGGCGTGCCCCGCGCTGATTCGTGAGTACCATTTACCACTAGAATATAGTGCTATTAGTTTATAATATTTATAATACAAATACAAATATACTTTATTAAACCAACAATACACATTTCTGCGACTGCTTTAATAGACTTTTTAATAATGAGATAATAATTTGAAGTTTAATTTCTAAAACTTACCTTCAATAACTGTATACAGCGTTGTTATCATACTGTTGTGTGCATCGGCTTTCGCGTACTTTCTCAACCATTCTATGAATATAGGACATGCCGCTAGTGCTTGCAAGAGCGTATTTAAAAAACATGTCCGACCAAGGTTTTGAAGTCCTGCTATTTGCCCGCGACGTTTCCTTACGCGCGGTGCTCCTCCTGGACCCCACAAGACAAAAGCTCCAACGACGACTGCTGCTGTTAGACCAGCGGCCACTAAAATCCTGTCGCCGCTCTCCATTGGTGTGTACAAACAAATCAATAATTCACTTATAATAATCGAACATAGCAATAATTATATTTATCTTCTAAAAATCATCACAAATATATACAACAAATTCCCATACATTACGCTTTTGTGCACTTTTGTGTAATCAAAAATTTGACATTCATAATCAAATGAGTGTCAATTTGACATTTTTGACTGACCACTATTATTAAAATGATAAAAAATCAAACAATTTAAATGCTTTATCCCACTTGAATTGACGAAAATTGTACTGAATCTCAAAATATCATTCTTCGAAATAAAAATTCAACCTTATAATCTATGTTTAAACAGTAAAAATGTTAAATTCAAAATGTATTAATAACGTTTCCAATTTAACTTCTGCGTAATTCAGAACTAGTGTCACTGTCAGTTACTGTTTGACAGTGACAGACCATCGACTTAGATAAATATGATAACAAAAGACTGACAGCAAAATAATAATACGCCGAACTTATAAGAAAACAGCACACTCTTCAGAAACAGCGATTTTATATGCGTGAATAAATATGTGTACTGATATAGATCCTACCTGTTAAGACTGGTGCCGTCCAACTTCAACTTAATTAAAATTTACAAAGTGTTATAGGTTAATCGTGACATGGGAACTGTTCATATGTGATAAGTGTGTTTGTAAATTGTATAGAAGCATAAGGAATATTTATTTTAGACAATGATTCCTTCCAATACAATATGTGTGTCGCAGGAAGGTCCTGCAAATGCTTTAGCATTAAACAAGGATTGTACACAAGTTGTTATAGCTGGAAGAAATGGTAAAATTGTTTCTAAAAGACTGCTTTTCATTGCATTTTATTATTTTAATGCCCCTTTATTTAATTTTCCAGTGTTTAAAGTATTCTCTATTGGTGAAGATGAGTTCTCAGAAGTGTGCAATCTAAGGGTGGGAAAAAACTTAAATTTAAATTTCTCTTCCATTGATGTTGCTTGGAGTACAATAGAAGGTATTTTCTATAAGTTAATTAACATTTCAGTTACAATTTTTTAAGTTTGTACAATTGAGGAATGCTTAGTTGATTCTTTTCTTCCACAGAGAACACTCTAGCCACAGCTGCAACAAATGGGGCTGTGGTGGTTTGGAATCTTGGGAGATCAGGACGCTCCAAACAGGAACATGTATTCTCTGACCACAAAAGAACTGTTAATAAGGTACTTTTATTAGAAGTCCCAAAAGATTAAAGAAAATAATACTTAAATGATTATTTAAATAATATTGTTTTTTTCAGGTTAGTTTCCACTTAACGGAGCCATCACTTCTGATCTCTGGCTCTCAGGATGGCATGATGAAATGTTTCGATCTTCGCATGAAGGAGGTAGCTCGCACATTTATCAGGTAAGTAAACATCCTCTTTTTGTCATATTTAAAAATTTACTGTTCATTCTGTGAAGTTTAATCATCTTTCACTTATATTTACGGAGTCTTTGCATATCGTACAGTAACACAGAATCAATCCGCGACGTTCAGTTCAGTCCGCACCAAGCGCACACATTCGCGGCGGTGTCAGAGAATGGTACAGTGCAGGTGTGGGACTCACGACGCAGCGAGCGCTGCCTGCAGCAGTTCACTGCCCACTCCGGGCCAGTGTTTGCCTGCGACTGGCACCCTGATGTACCCTGGCTCGCCACCGCCTCGCGAGATAAGACCATCAAGGTGAGACAAACATACTAATATTAACACTTGAATTTCACATGGTTTTAGATTTTATGCTGCAAAGGTAATTTATAGCTAAGATTATTTACTCAAGTTTCTTGATGTATGAGCGCTCATTTCATAGGAATAAAGTACAAATATAAATCTATAAATAATTATACCGAGCATTGAAAGCAGCGGTGTTTGCAGGCGCGTGCAACCTGCACGTGCGGGAACTAGGTCGTGTCGATAACAGACACGTGTCTGAGTTCTGCTTTGTGTCTGCATCTTATCTGTTGACTTCGATGTTTTGAACCTGTTTATGTCACACACCACTGTTATAAAGTATTAAGTTCTTACAATGTAAGCTATGATTCATTCTGAATAGATATGCTATAATAGGTTTCACTGTTCGTGAATTTATTAAAACATAATGCAGTAAATGAAAACTCGAAAAATTATAACCATAGAAGGTCTCTACGACCAAGATAAATGAAGCTGCAAGTATTTCCTTGCCTTTTGCCATCTTTGGTTAGCTGGGAGCTGACCCTGTGATGTTAGTCAGTTTTATCATTGCACACAATATGTAAGTTCTAAACGATTTATTATAATTAATAGATAACCTGCTAGTGGTTGGCCGACATCGTTAACTCCAGACAATACATCAGTGCGTAGTCTCATTACCACGTGTATTATTTAATAGCCTCAAGTGTTGAATTTCTGTTATCACCCTATATATTATCCTTATGCTTTTTAAAAAAAATATGCATTTGTTAAGTTCATAAAGATTTATTCCAGGTATGGGACATGCACGGCAAGCCTAACTTAGAGTACACCATATATACGATAGCATCCGTCGGCCATGTGAAATGGCGGCCACAAAAGAAGTAAGTCGAAATTGTTGATTAACAACTTCGTTTTTTGTACATATATTTCATGAGAATCGCAAAGACGTGGCGATAAGAGTGATGATGTCCGAGCGCAGTGTCGTGTGTGGTGTGGCAGGTACCAGGTGGCGTCGTGCGCGCTGGTGCTGGACTGCGCCGTGCACGTGTGGGACGTGCGCCGGCCCCACGTGCC